TTGAAATTTATCGCACTGATTAAAAAATACCTGTAGTTCTGCAAACAAACTGTCAAAGTTATAGCAAACTAAAATAACATTTTCATAGGAAGTGTTCTACGTTACGTATAATACATCGTTTTCTGATGTGAAGTACTGGTATTGGAGAATATATTGTTTTAAAACATGATTTACAGGCCTTACTTGAGGCTATCAGCGCTATAAATTGAATCTAATTCCAAGCAACTTTCTTTCTTCAGCAATAGCTCAGCTTTGACTAATCAATCCCCTCCCTCTGCTTAAAAGAATGGGGGTTTCCACATACCTAAAAACTCTAGTTGTGCATCTTCTAGTTTTTGATTATTTATAATAAAATATTACTCTAGCAGCATGTGAAGTTGTTGGTGTGGCATTTATATGCATCATGGTTAATGGTGGTGGTGGTGGCATGGCTCATTTTTCTTTAATTTGGTTCTTAATTCTTTCCTACTGAAGACATTTCTCTTTAGGGACATGTTCTGAGAATGAGGGAGATCTGGAGTCCACAAATTCACAGTATCTGCACAAGTTCCAGTGTGTAACCTCTGAATTCTAATGTCACTAGATTCTCATCAGCTATGGCCTTTTCAGCACCTTCTTGGGGAAGACTTACAGTATGAGATTTCCCTCTCTGTCAGAGAGATCTAACAAACGTTAGGGTCTCTAGCCTATTCTCCCAAGATTACGGCCCAAATTCCTCAGTATTGCTCTAAAAAAGACCGGAAGTGCATGTATGGTTTCCTTTAGTTAAAACATGGTAGGATGATCCCATGGTAGAAAGATCCCATCATTCAAGTAAGAGCACTATGACACTCTAAGCATGAAAAGTAAGCTTGCTACAGTTCAAGAATGGTTTCATGTAGTTATTAATTCAATTTAGAAACATACAATTAAAAGAATAGAATCGTATGTGAACACATAACTACCTATTAGCGTTAGGCTTGGTGGGATGGTAGATGTGTAAAAATGTAACCCTAGTAGCAAGGAAGGTATTCTTACTAGCTTGAATTCAGGTTTTTCAAAGCTGCTCTGTCCATCTTCTCTGACTTCACAGACTCAGCATCACTAGCAGCAGGTAAAATTTTCAAAAGTAAAGAGGATTAATAGAACCTGCACTAATTAATACTTGACATGCCACATTATACAGGGATGTGAAAGAGCCAGTCTTCTGGTGTTTCGTATTTGATCAAGATTTTATATTAATGTTCATAACCATTTTAAGCAATGTAGAGAGAAATATAAGATGGGTAAAAAGTAAGCATAAAAATATTCCTTGTTGTATTAAATGTCAAAAGATACATTTTAAAAAGCTGAAGAGTATCTAGAGAATTGATTAAGTATCTACAAGTAAGAGAGAAGACATTCCAGCTTGCTAAAAAGAGGACATCTTATTGATGGAAACAGGATAAATGCTTTTCCTACATGTGCAAATGTAACAACTTTTTTTGTTAGCACCGATGTAAGTTACTTAAGGTGTCCTATGAAAATACAGTTAAACCTGATTTTAAAGGGTGGGGAGCATATAGCAGCACCACAGAGAAAACAAATGATCATTTTCTTGAACTCCATGAATCATATTATACCAGGAATAGTTATCATGGGAAAGTTCGGTCTTCAAGGTGCTCAGAATTTCTCAGGCTTGCAATGCCATATCAGATAAATGACGTTTTGCTTGTTCAGGTCCCCCTTCTTCCTAATCAAGGAATTACATCAAATTAAGAGCAAGAGTTTATAATACAGATTAACAAATTGGACCTGAGTGAAGGAACTTCAAAGTGCTGGTGCAAAATAGTCAAGAAGGAGAAATTAATTGAAAACTTGTCTCAACAAATTCAGAACTGCAGAATTCAATTACAAAAAAAAAAAAATCAAGAAATTGAAATTAAGCGCTATGACTATAATTTGGGCAAGCATTAGAACAAGCACACCTTTAACTGAAGAAGAACTTGTGCTAACATTTTACTATCTTCAGTATAGCTTCCTACAATGAAATTCCTAATTGTTTCCTTTTGCTGAGTCTCTAAGTAGCTATCTCATGTTTTGGTTGCACAGGCAGGAAATACATGATTGCATATCAGGGATTAAATTGCAGAAATGCTTAACTGTGATTTTAATTGTTGATCGCTATTAATTGTTAATAATGACTGTTACCAACAATAGAGGTATTCAATATGGAGGGAAACCTCGGCTAATAAGAAAAAGTATAGAGTGCGATTCTACATATATTTTGCCCTTGCAGATGAAAAGCACGTTTACGCAAATGGGCAATGCATATAAGCTAGCACTGCAGTATCTTTCTGCATCTTTCTTTTTGGAAATTGAGAAACTGGTTATCCTGGAGAAAGAATGTGGGATAACAGTTAAGGATCAGTTTTCTACTGTGAAATGGAAAGATGTTTGGATGGTCAAATTTATTGGTTACCACAGCAGAATATATAGCATTAGGATTTATTCAGGAGTCAAATGCCAAGCCTCCAGCATGACTGGTCACCTCTCCCTGTTATACTGTAGGCAGGGACATGCACATAAAAAAGAGGTAGGGCTTTAACCATAAGGCCATATTGACTTTTTTGACCCCTCCCCGTGGATGTCCCTGATTGTAGGTAAACTGTTTCTTTGTTTTTAAGAAATTTCCTGAGTTATGAAACATCCAAAAATGTTTCCCCAAGTTCTACCCAGGGCTTTTTTCTTTTCTTTTTTTTTTTTCAGAAATAAATCTCTAATTGGGAAATTAGAATTTCTTCTTATTTCAGTTTGAGAGCTTCCTTCTCAGTGTGTTTGAAACAAACCAGGGGTTATTTTCAATTAGCATTTCTGAAACTGTCCCCATAGAAAGGGGCCTGTACTTACATTGGCATTCAGCACTTTGCCTCTTCAAAGTGAAGGAGAAATAGAACATGATGCTGAGTGCAAGCATATCGGGATTTTAGTGACTGTAAGATAATCCTAAAAGGTGGTTCAAAGTGGATTGCCCGTGCAAATCATTGTATCAAAATGTGATAGTCACAAATACGTGTCTTCTCCATAAGGATATATTGCTCATCTGTGTAAAATTTAAGAGTTCTCTTTTTTTCCACTTAGTACATGCACAGAAGATGTGCCAGAGCTGTCTGAAAATGAGATGTTAGATGCTTTCCTTATATCTACCCTCTTTCTTTCTGAGTTAAATTATATGGCCTCCAGAGTTCACCAAAAGTAAGAGAGAGAGAAATATTAATGTTAATGGATGTGAGAGCCACACCCAACTCTCCAGTTCCCCATCAGGGCCAATCATCTAATACGCTGGAACAAAAGGAAGAGACACAGCTCAGTAGAGTTCTGTGTGATCTTTTCATGCTTCTATAGAGAATGACGGTATCATGAAAAGACTGTCGGATACTAAATTGGCATCACTTTGCAGGATTTGTTGTTCTACAACACTGTGGCAAAGGAATGATTATACTTGGGTAGCACAGCAAATCAAACCAAATGTTTTAGAGAAGTGAATTTATATTTGCCCAAACTCATTTGTTCAAAATACTTAATAGTATAATTAAGATCCAACATAAGATATTGTGTAGGAAGATATCTAGTACTTACAGGAAATGGTCTTAGCTCTGATTAAATAACTAGCTGATGTTGTACAAG